GGTGCTTAAAGCGTCATATGAGGTTTTAACAGATTAAACCCAAAATAAGATATTTGAAAATACACTATTTTTAGAAAGGATGAAAAGATCTGGGGGAGCATGGTATGTAAAGGTATGTAGAGACCTAAGACTTAAAGAGAAGAGAGACTGCATGCCCACTCCAGTGATTCAAGAGCAACAAGTTTCTCAATACTTGTTGATGTTGTATGACTAATACAACACCTATTGTTAGCTCTTCAAAGAAGATAAATAATGTTAACAAGGATCTTGTAACACAGGAGCCTGTAGAATCAATTGTCTCTTGGCAATGAAGAGCAACAACAGCCCCATATGAAAGTGCCAGTAGCTGAGGCCCTAGAAGGTCTCAAAGAATTAGTAAACCAATTTTTCTGATGACTATGAAGTCTATGTTAGTAAAGAAATTCAAATGGAGGGTGATCACACCTCATTTGAAGAAGCCATGAGAAGCGTTTACTCGTTTAAATGGCAAGAAGCTATGGAAGTTGAAATAAATTCGATGAATACCAACGATGTTTGGGACTTAGAAGTAATTCCTAATGGAGCCAAAATAGTAGGCTATTAATGGGTCTACAAGACAAAATATGACTCAAAGGAATGTAGAAAGATATAAAGCATGACTTGTAGCAATATGCTTTATGCAAAGAGAATGAATAGATTACAATGAGAGTTTTCTTTCCAGTCTTATGCAAGGATTCTTTTAGAATCATAACGACATTGTTGGCACATTACAATTTTGAGTTACATTAGATAGATGTAAAGACGGCATTCCTCAACGGGTATTTGTATGAAAACGTTTACATGGCATAACCCAAAAGGTTTTGTCGTAGAAGAAAAGAACATATGTGAAAGTTTGGGTTTTAAAGAAAATGAAAAGGACAATAGCATTTATGCGAAGTTTAAGAATGGAAAATTCTTTTCCACATCCTGTGTATAGATGACATCCTACTCACTAGTAGTGATGTTAATCTATCATTGGATAAGAAGAAGTTCTTGTCCTCAAGTTTTAATGTGAATGGTCTTGGTGAAGCGTCATTGGTTTTAAGAATCAAAATTCACCGAGATAGAAGAAAATGGGGTATTAGGACTATCGCAAAGGCATACTTAGAAAAGTTTTTAAAGAAATAAAGTATGCATGCGAGTAAACATATGCCTACTCCTATAGTCAAGGGTAATAGATTTGGTAACTTTAAGTGTTCTAGAAACTGATATGAGATCGATCGAATGAACATGGTTTCATATGCTTTAGCTTTTGAAAGCTTGATAAGTGTAAAAGTACAAGTAAGAACTTACCCTAACGTAGTTTACGTATCCAGGATATTTTGGCAGAAGTCTAGTCTAGATATAGATCATTGAAATAGAGTTAAGAATGTTTTACAATTTTGTAAAGTATCATAGGCCTCATGCTGAGTAAGAAAGAATAAGTACTCTCAAATAGTTGAGGGTACAAATGTTAAGTCTTGGCGAGATGTGTAGTGAAATCCACAGCAGTTGCTAACACTCGTAGTTAGAGTATTATTGTGGAAAAGCTTCAAAGAAACAGTTGTGGTGTCATCAGTGATGCATACCATAGTATAGCTTGACATGAGGCTTAAAAAACAGGCAAAAGAGGTTAAGGGAATTTGTACCCGGCTTTAACAATGGTAGACAACAGCAATAACCATTTAAAGTAAGTTCACTCTGAAAGGTCCTTGTGTGGTTTTGGTAATTGAGTGACAACCTAGGTGGACTAATTGTGTTTATGTGAGATACATAGGTGATTAGTCCACAGGTATATGTGTGTGAGCAACATATGCCATGAAGGCAAAAATGGCTTGGAGATGTTGCAAAGCTCACACATGTGGTGATGAAGGAGCTCATTGCAAATGAGACATGACATTGAGTCATGTGATCAAGGTGGAGAAGATCAAGACATGACTTGGCTTGATGGACCGGTTGCAAGCGTGAAGGGCAAGTCGGAGGCTTTGGAGCGATGAACCGCGTGGCGGTGAAGCTTGAGCAAGACTTGGCGCCAATGGACGAAGGCAACGGTGAAAAGCAAGTGAAGTCAAGATCGATGAACCAATATGATCACGTGATGATATGAAGTGGATCATATCATTGTTGATCATGTTGGTGCATGTGTTGCATCGACATTGGAGGAGATGGAATAAAATGCGCAAGGCAAAGATATAACCTAGGGCATTTCATTTCACCAGTCATAGGTGTGTAGAGAAGTTGATGACCGGGTTTAGGATAGATGGTCGTACTATTAAGAGGGGCAAACTTGTTTGCATATCGGTCATCTAGTGCCACTCGAGTGATCTAACTTTGCATCATCGCTAGGATCGAGTGGTGTGGCAAGTTGAGTGACTAATCCTTTGGAAAATGTTTGTGAAAAGCTAACACACATACACATGGTGGTGTTGGCACATTTGCAAAGGAGAAGAAGTTAGAGTTGTTGTGAATCAACTTAGAGAAGAGAAAAAGGTTTTTCGGTGTACTCCAAACTATAGGATGGTCCTTGGATTGGAATACTGTTTTGATCCATTGTGATTTGGATCAAGTATGCATGTGGGATGTGTAGCCCTGTGAGTAAGCTTTCCAAAATGTTCAAGATCATCAAAATTGGAGTTCAGAGCTAAGAGTTATAGCCGTTTTAGCGCTGAAAGGTCTGTGACCGGACGCAGAGCGTCCGGTCAACACCTACGAGTCGGGTCACAGCGTCCGGTCAGTGTTTTTAGCATGTCCAGAAGCGACCGGATGCTGGGAGAGTCCGGTCAGTGATGACCGGACGCGTCCGATCGCTGAAAAATGTCTCTGGAACATCTTTGTAAGTGACCGGACACTGGGGTCCAGCGTCCGGTCGTTATGACCTGCGCGTCCGGTCAGTACGCGTTTTGCCTACTAAAGGGGTAACGGCTATTTTAGCCCTTGGGGCTATAAAAGGAGTGTGTGGCCGGCCTTGGGCTGGTCGCTAAGCACCCTCACGCCTGTGTGGCTTGTGTAGGAGTGCTTGGATGCCCTCTAACTCACTTGTGCTTGAAAGAGTGCGAATCGATTACGAGTGAGTGTGATTCTAGTGCGTTGCATTGTGAGATTGCATCGAGTGGCACTAGGTGATCGAGTTGCAAGCCGATGGTGCTTATTACTCTCGGAGGTGATGGTGCTTATTACTCTCGGAGGTGATTCTAGTGCATTGCGTTGCTTGGTGGTGGTCTCCGTCGAAGCCCGCAAGAAGCTTGTGCGGTGCTCCGGAGAAGAGCTTTGTGAGGGGCACTGTGCTCGCCCTGCGGGAGCCGCGAAGAGCAACTCTAGTTGAGTGTGTCATTGAGCTACCCTCACTTTTGGGATAGGTTCTTGCAGTGCCCGACGTACGAGTTTGGCGGGTGATGCCAATTAGCCGCTGAACCTCCAAGTGAGCAGTCGACACAACGGGGACGTAGCGTGTTGGCAAGCACGTGAACCTCGGGAGAAAATCACCGTGTCAACCTTGTTCTTTCCGTTGGTTTGCAATCCCCTTACACAAGCTTGTGATTACTTTTATATACATTGTGCTTGTGTAGTTGCTCTTGTAATTAGTTAGCTTGTGTAGCTCACTAGTTACCTTCTTACTTGTGTAGCATAGAAGTAGCTCCCTTGCGTGGCTAATTTGGTTTGTGTAACCTTGTTAGTCACTTTGCTTAGTTTGTGTAGCTAAGTATTTGCGCTCTCTAATTTGGCATTGGTTGCCTTGTTATTGAGCATTGCTAGTGAGGTTAGTTGGTTTTGTGCTTTTGCTTATTAGCATGTGTAGGAGCTCCCTCATTGCTTGAAATACTAGTGGCATATGTATGTGTGACCAAGCTCCTATAATTGGTTAGGTGAGCTCTAGCTAGCCCGGCACCTTTGTTGCTTAATTAGAATCTTTGCAAGGTACTAGAGAACATAGATAGAGGGGTGTAGTCTTGGCTAGACCGATAGTTTTAATTCCGCACTTGTTTTGGTTTGCCGACGCGCAATTAAGTTTTAGAAATGACTATTCACCCCCCTCTAGTCGCCATCTCGACCCTACACACTTCTAAGACAACAGGTCAAGTGTGCAGTCAAACACATTGACACTAAGTTATATGTTATAAATGAGAAAATCCAGAATCATTTTAAAAGCATTGAGCATATAAGTACCAAGCAAGTACTTGTGGATTCACTTACCAAAGGCTTACCACCTAGTGCATTCAGAGAACACATAGTCGACATGGGTTTACGGGAAATCCTATAATTTCTAGATACTAAGGGCCTAGTTGAGTATCTGTTTTAAAACAGAGAGGTGCATTATAGCTGTTAAATCTAATGGCAACTGACCGTGACGATGAGGCGCGCTCTATGCACTGATCTGTGATGGAATAGGAAAAGGATAAAGAAAGTTGAGTTTAAGTCATAAGGTGAGATCAAGGGAGAGAATGTTAGGATGATCACCACCAGTTGGCCCAACGGCCAATTGGGCCCTTGATCTGCGTCCTGATCGGGGGCGCTCAGCCGGTTCTAAGTGGCTGATGGGCCCCGTCGCGCAGCACTATTAAAAGGACGGTGGGGGCTGGGACACAGGACACGAGGTTCACCGTAGCCGTTAGCGCCCCACCAAAGTTCCTAACCCTAGACCGATCGAGAGGGGTGTTGTAAGCGATGGAAAGCACCACCGCCTTCACTGCCGTCTCTGCACCACGCCTGACGTCCACACCGCCGCCGGATGTCACTGCCTCCCTTTCGCCGACACCCTCCGTCACCGACACCGCCATGGACGGCTCCTCATCCTTCAAACCCGATGGTCAGGCTTCTACATCTCTCTCTCTCTCTCTCTCTCTCTCTCTCTCTCTCTCTCTCTCTCTCTCTCCCGAGTACACTACTAGTTGTTTTATCCTGAAATAGCAATAAATCAACCCGTAAATCTATACCTAGATGATCCTAGTAATTAACAGATGCAAGCGAAGGTGACAAGATTTTGCCGCCATTTCTGTCTTGCAGAGATGGAGGCCGCATCAAACAACTTTGATAAGTCACTCCTTATTGAGAATAGTGGTTTATTTGGTAGAGTTTATCATGGCAAGATTGATGGGGTAGCAATAACCTTGGTGGATGTTATGCATGTCTACAGCATACATGCCTTCCATAGCCTGTTAGAGATTATGTCGAAGCTCGGCCATGTTCATCTTGTGCCATTGATTGGTTATTGCCATGAGCAGGAGATGACACTCATGGTCTACGAATACGTGGCTGGTGAAAATCTAGGTGAACACCTTTACGGAACCAGGAAGCAATCCCTTAAGGGCCGGATCGTTTCCCCTGAATCACCGCCAGAAACGATTCCCGGCCGGAATCGTTAGTTTATTTGCATAATATTTAATCAGCAGGAATGAATCCTGGTGTCAAACTGCCCCCAAACGAACGAGCCCTAACTGGATTCAGCGTTTGGAGACCTGCACTGGTGTTGCTCGTGGTCTGCAGTACCTTCACGGATCAAACATTATACTGTATGAGGAATGTCTCGCTAAGATTACGAATCTAGCTCCTCCGTCCAATCTCTTGGATACCCACGCAGCCGAGTTCTGTGAAAGTAATGGTTACAGCGATCCAGAGTACCTGCGCACCGGTCTGCGTACTGAGAAATCAGATGTCTATTGTTTTGGCCTTGTGCTACTAGAAGTCCTCTTTGCTCGCCCAGTTATCGAGTGCCACCGTATCTGGGAAAAGGTTGCGCCGTTAGTGAACTGGGCATGCCAATGCCCGGACTACCTTCATTCGTTTGTTGATCCATACCTAGAGGGAAAATTTTATGAACAGTGTTTAAATATATTCCTCAATACTGCTCGGAAGTGCATTGCTGATAAAGGCATTGACCGTCCAACGATACGAGCTGTACTGTGCAACCTGGAGTATTGCCTTCAGTTGAGTGGGGGGCTGGAGAGCGGAGAGGATCGTGGTAGCATGTCAGGCTATGCCATGGGTGAGGGAAGGTGATTGACTGATTGTGGATTCTGAATTCTGATTCCACGAGTTTGTTCTGTCATTACTCTCCCTTGTTTGCAATATAGGAGTAGCTTGGTTGTCCTGTATCCTGTCTTGCTTATTGTTTCCTACTTTGCTATAGGAGTACTGGTAATCTCTGACTGGCTTGTACTAATGTATCGCTGCTATTTACCGAACGAATGCCTAGCTCTACTGGCATCATGATCATCCTTAGCGCATGTACAGGGAATATGTCAACTTTGTCACACGCAATTCAAGATTGGATTTTTCACCCTTGTTTCTGTGAGGTTGTGTATCCATATGTGTCCCCTCGGCAGGAGACTGGCCTCTCCCTTGCTCAAAGCTTTCGAGGCCGGCACACGCATAGCCTTGAAAATTTTCAAGGCCTTGCAGCTGCAGCACGGCCCCAGGAAGCGCATGGTCCAAGCGTATGGAAATGGAATGGATGCGCGCTCAGCCCGACAGCCCGTTGTTCCTTCCCAATACTTGTCCCGCACCTGTTCATTCCTTCATTCTGCCCACACGTGTACCGCGGCCTTACAAGAGCTCAGTCAATAGTAATTAAATCTGAGTTCACCAACACCGCAGGCTCCAATTTTAAACATTGACATGGAATTCATTAAGGGCTTCAATTCACGCTTGACTTGCTAGAGAGCGAACCGGTATTTAGGTGCTCCCTCGGTCCCAAAACAATCGGTCACACTTTTTTCAAATTTTACTTGGTATAGAAAATAATATCAATATTTATATATCTATATAAATTAGTTTATTATGAATATAGGTGATTTCTGGAGACAGATAGATAGGAGCAGCCGGGCCAGTCGCCCCTATAAACCATCTGCAGCCGCCCTGAAAGCATCAAGATGCCTAAGAGGAGGTGAATTGGACTAATTCTAAATTTTACAATAATTAAGCCCTATACTTAGCTCATTTCACCCATTTGTGTCTAAAATGTGTTTCTATTGTTCTCCCGTATAAAAATTTTGCACCCTAGGTTCCAATCCTACTCTAGCATGGTAATTCTAGGAATGTAAAGATATGAAACGAATTGCTCAAATATAAATGCTCAAAGTAAAAAGAGGGAAATAAACACGGCGATGTTTTTTCGAGGTATCGGAGAGTCGTCACTCTCCACTAGTCCTTGTTGGAGCACCCGCGCAAGGGTGTCACTAGTAGAGAACAGACCTTTGATCCTCGACCAAAATAGGCTCTAGTCCCGGTATTTTTTGCACCCGAGACTAAAGATACCTTTAGTCCCGGTTGGTGGCTCCAACCGGGACTAAAGGTCCCCTAACAACAGCACTGGCCAGAGCAGAGGTGGCAGGACCTTTAGTCCCGGTTGGAGCCACAAACCGGGACTAAAGGTATACTTTTACTCCCGATTGGTGGCTCCAACCGGGAGTAAAGGTCTACCCCGGGCCATAGCTGTGCTCGGAGTTGGAAAGTTACCTTTAGTCCCGGTTGGAGCCACCGACCGGGACTAAAGGTCCCCCCTTTATATCACGGCCGTCTTCTTCTTCCTCTCCGAACCCGAGCTCAGCACATTTTGAAGCTCACTGCACTAGTGTTCTTGCTTCCTCCCTCCCTCCATTGTTCCTCCCTCCATTCTTTGATTCCTCCGTCGATTTCTTCGATTCCTCCGTCGATTCTTCAGTTGTAAAGGTTACCAATCTCATACTCTCATTTTTCACAATTGTCTTATCTCATTTTGTTCACTATATATATATATATATATATCGTTCTTTATTGTGGTTTTTTTTATTTGTAAGCAATTTGAGCTCAAAATCACTTCAAGCTTGCATATTTACATGAAAGAAAGTTAAAGTAGCTAGTTGAACTTGCGGACCGTGTTCATCTCGGCGAGCATGTTCTCTGTCGAGCGGTAACGGACGTCAAGGAGGAGCTTTGATTCTACGAGGGAGAGCGGCAACGGTCGTGGAAGACCGTGTTCCCTTCCTCGTAGAATCGGAGCTCTTCCTTGATCAAGTACGGTGCCGTCCGGTGGAGAAATGCTCGCCGAGATGATCACGTAAGCAAGGTCAACTAGTATGGATGGTTATTTATTAAAACATGTTTTTGAGATATAGATAATTTTATAGTTTCTTAATTTTATTTGTTTATAAAATGAGAAATTTATAGTGTATTATAAATGAGTATAGAGAGTAGATGGCAACTGCTTCCGGGTCCTCGGCCTCTCATGGGTTTCCAAAGCGACTTAGGCCGGGCCTCCCTCTCATTCCATGCGGCAAGTGTCGTGATGAGACGAAGATTGTGATGGAGTACCGAGTGAAGAAGGAGGGTCCCAACAAGGATCGTATCTTTTACAAGTGTCCGGATCGCAATGTGAGTTATTTTATCGTATTTAATGATTATGGTTAGTTTATACCTATTTTCTTGATGGTTGTGATTAAAGTTCTAATTTTTTGTTTTAATTTCAGTGGGATGACAGTGGACGATGTTCAGGCTTCTACTGGGAGGAAGAGTATGTTGAACTCGTGCAAAAATATCTTGCACAACAAAAAGTGATACTGGTGGCTAATGAGGCGAGTGATCCAATTTGAAGAAGCCCAAAGATGTTGCACAATCGTTGGATCTGCATCTGTTTTTAGTTGAGATTTGGTCATGAAATCCTTATGCTCCTGAAATGTATTTTAGCTTTAGTTCTTTTAGTGGTAGTTGGGATTGTCTACATTGTAGCGATGCTTTCATAAATTTGTACCTTTTATGGTGGCACACATGTTGTATAAATAATTAATTATGATCTAGGTTTTAATATGGTATTTATGTCATATAATGCGAGATGAGCCGGTATTAGATGTACAATGCTGATCGCCGCTCCCAAAGAGTTCATTGGCGTGCATTCTTTGTTACGTCATGGCCGAGGCAAACAAACGCTGACGTTTTCATGTCTTTGCCCATGTGCCATATGTAAGAATATGGTGGAATATCCTTGCTCAAGGACTCTTCATTCACACTTGTTCAAGTCGGGTTTCATGCCAAACTATATTTGTTGGACGAAGCACGGAGAAACCGGCGTTGTAATGGAAGAAAGTGAAGAAGAACAATGGGACGACAATGATATTATTCCCGATGGTGCGTGCTTCAATGATACTGCAATGGGAGAAGCTGAAGAAGAGGTAGCCACAGAAGATGAGCCTGCTGATGATCTTTGTCAGGTCATTCGTGACGCACAAAGAGAATGTGAAAGTGAAAAGGAGAAGATCAAGTTCGAGCGGATGCTAGAAGATCACAACAAATTGTTGTACCCAACTTGTGATGCAGGGCAGAAAAAGTTGAGAACCACACTAGAATTGCTGCAATGGAAGGCAAAGAATGGTGTATCTGACAAGGAATTTGGAGAGTTACTAAAAATCCAAAAGAAGATGCTTCCGAAGGATAATGAATTGCCCGCCACTACCTACGAAGCAAAACAAGTTTATACGTCCTATGGGGCTAGAAATCGAGAAGATACATGCATGTCCTAATGACGCATCCTGCATCGTGGCAAAGAGTACGAGAAATTAGATGCATGCCCGGTATGCCATGCATCGCATGTATAAGATCAAAGCGAGATGACCCTGGTGATGTTGAGGGCTTAACGTCCACGGAAGAAAATCCTCGCCAAGGTTATGTGGTATGCTCCTATAATACCACGCTTGAAAGCGTCTGTTCGTAAACAAAGAACATGCAAAATTGTTGCGATGGCACAAAGAAGACCGTAAGGTAGACAATATGTTGAGACACCTGCCGATGGGTCCCAAAGTGGAAGCAATCGACAGAGAATTCTTGAGTTTGCAAATGACGCAAGAAACTTAAGGTTTGCTTTAAGTACAGATGGTATCAATCCTTTTGGAGAGCGTAACAAAGTAGTCATAGCACTTGGCCTGTTACTCTAAGTATCTACAACATTCCTCCTTGGTTATGCATAAGCGCGAAAGTTCATTATGATGCTGTGCTCATCCAAGGCTGAAGCAACACGGCAATGACATCGATGTATACCGAGACCACTTATTGACGAACTTCTCATTTTGTGGAATAAAGAAGGTGTACGTGTGTGGGATGAGTACAAGCGAAACACTTTGATCTGCGAAACCTTTGTTGTTCGTAACAATCAATGATTGGCCCGCTCTAAGTAATCTTTTAGGACAGTCAAACAAGCGATATAATGCATGCACACACTTTGCTTTGGTGATATTAGAGGTGTATTCTTGAAAAAAATATCGAAAGGTCGTGTACCTTGGCCATCGTCGATTTCTTCCCGCAAATCACCACAGCAAGAAAGAAAGGCAAGCATTTTAAAGGGAAGGCGAGACCACCACGACCAAGCCATAACCGAACCGGTGAGGATGTACTCGATATGGTCAATGATGTGAAAGTCGTCTTTGGAAAAGGACATAGAAGCCAACATGTTCGAACGGCGCTAACGGTCACGCAAAGACCCATGTGGAAGAAGTCCATATTTTAGGACCTACCCTATTGGCAAGTCCTAGAAGTCCGCAGACTCGATCGACGTGATGCACTGACGAAGAATCTTTGTGTGAACTCTGCTAGGCTTCATGGGTGTGTATGGAAAGCCTAAGGACACATTTGAAGCACGACAGGACTCGCATTGTTTGAGAGAAAGAGACAACAACTTTGCATCCGAGAGAAGGCAGATGATGGGCGCCATTACTTACGTCCCGCCGGCTACACTCTAAGCAAAGAGGAGAAGGAAATCATGTTTGAATGCTTAAACAACATCAAGGTACCATCTGGATTCTCCTCGAATATAAAGGGTATTATAAATGTGCGAGAAGAAAATTCAGTAACTTAAAGTCCCATGTATCACGTTCTCATGACGCAATTACTTCCATTGCATTAAGAGGAATTCTACCTCCAAATGTACGTCTAGCCACCATGAAGCTATGTGCATTCCTCAATGCAATTTCTCATAAGGCAATTGATCCAACTGATCTAGCTAAACTACAGAATGATATGGTTCAATGTCTTGT